AGTGGTCTTAACGGATAACGGCACGAGCTTCGGGGGGCGTTCCATGAGATGGTGGTTAGCGCGTTGGGCTGCGTTCATCTGACGACGGCAACGTATAGGCCGCAAGGCGCTCAGAAGCGGGTTCAAAGCACTGTAGCAAGAAGGACACCGCGACCTGGGTAGGATGGTGGCGGCGGTTTGTCGCACGCACAATACGACACCGCACATCAGCACAGGGGCGACGCCGTACGAGGCCTTATTCGGAAGACCACCGTACTTCGCGCGGTTGCAAGAGGTAACCGGCACAGTGACAGAGGCGCAGAGGAAACAGAGCCTGGCCGCACAGGTGCGTGAGAGATTGCAAAAGGCCACACTCATAGATAGGCCGCTCGAAGAGTCGGGCGCGGATGACCTACGGGTAGGAGGAATAGTAGTCGTCTCGATGGAGCCAGGGTCACAGTGCGAGCGGTCCACGGATATTGACATGACCGACGTTGGCATGAGGACAGAAGCCAACTAGGATGGAAGACAGAAGTCAACTAGGATGAGTTCTTAGGAATGATACAATTTTTCAACTGAGAAGCTGAGGGGGCGTGTTGGCATGTCATGTTGGCAAGGTCGGTTCTCAGTTATTACGTCTCGCCCGCCGAAGCTCGTCTCGCCCGCCGAAGCTTTTTATTAAATACGGGGAGAGCCAGTAACCGCAGCAACGCAAGTTGGCAGAATCGGCACCGAGGACTCCACGACGCAGGCAGCACCACGTCACCAGCGGATCAGTCCGACACAACAGCCATGATTTCCATTTCACGAACCGGTGATTCAACTGGGCGAAGACCTCCCCGTTTTATCGAGTGGCCAGTGCGCATTTGTGGTTGATTTGCCGAACACGGCCAAGTTGAGTGGAAAAAGTTTAGTCGCATTTGATCGTGAGCTTGACCGAGGGACTGCGGCCGTGGGACTTGTCGATGAGACCAAGGTCTCCGTTGAAGTGGTAGCCGGAGTACTGTTCGAACTTGATCGTTGCGGTGGCCAAAGTTTCATCGGGCATGAGCGCCCGGTTGTCCTTGACTGTAATTTTGATCTCGGTTTCGGTGCCTTCTGTCTCGAACGTCCAGGACTCCTCATACTCCGCGGAGGACCCGGAGTCCTTTTTGGTCTGAGTACGGTATGTGCTGTTGCTTCCATAAGATAACATAACAAAAGGGTCGGTGGTATTGCCTCGGCTGTCGTGATCTTCGAGGCCAGAGATCGAGTGAAGTGTTACGGTGACCTTCATGTAGCAGTGTGGGTGTTAAGTAAGGTAATTCAGTAAAGGAATTCAGTAAAGGAATTCAGTAAAGGAATTGAGCAAGGGAATTGGGCGAGTGCCGGTCAAGTTGGTGGGTGGATAAAGCTAAGTTTACTTGAGTGGTTTGATTGGCTGAAAATGTCCCGAGACCTGGTGTCCCAAGACCTTGTGTCCTAGACCTGGTGTCCCAAGACCTTGTGTCCTAGACCTTGTGTCCTAGACCTTGCGTCCTAGACCTTGTGTCCTAGACCTGGTGTCCCTAGACCTTGGGTCCTAGACCTGGTGTCCCTAGACCTTGGGTCCAAGACCTGGTGTCGTAGACCTGGTGTCAGGATTTGGCAAGGTTGGGTTGTTCGCCTATGCATTTGCCGAGAAGAGCAATGGCGGTTTCTGCATGGTCTTTGGACGAGATGGTCCATGGGTGGGTGTACTCATTTTTGGTATTCGTGGGTGTGAGTATAGTGTATAGTTTGCTCAGGTCTGGATTGAGTGGGTGTATCTGATCTTGTAAGTAAAGTGATCTGGATAGTACATCGAAGAATGTGAGTGAGCCTAGATGGTATGGTCTGGGATGTCCAATAAGTTGTCTAGTATAATGCCTAGTGAGTGCACGACCATGTCTAGCATCCCATGAGCCAAGACGATCACTTCCCCATGATGTTCCACCTTTGACAATGTTTGCAACAACATCTTCCGCTGCCAATAAACGTTGCGTCTCAAGTAAACCCTGGGTATAATACAACGAACCGAGCATAGCCTGCAATATACCCTGACCTAATTGACTCGCTTTCCAACGAGTTATGTCACTCTCCCATTTATCGCGCCCTATCTGCAATGTACGACAACTTCGCAACGATGATTTCAAACGCAACAAGAGGACCCGATCTGCCACCTCTCGTCTCTTCTGTCCTCCATATTCAACCACGTAATCCACATAGTACCTTTTAACGCCATAAAATAACTCCGTCAATCGCCGCCACAATCCCGGCTCCACTAACATATCACTAACATATGGCATCTCACGACGACCTATAAAGTAATAAGGATCCCGAGCAGCTTCCTCCAATGCACCCGGAGGAAATCCAAACTCCAGATCCTTCATCAAATCCATCGACGCCTGACGCACCTCAGACGTCATCGTCATGTACAACGCATCCTGACCAGATAGTGCTCCTCCCCGCCCCTCCGGCTCCACATCCTCTTGCGCCATATACTTCGCTTCCACCTCTCTCAACCTCTCCCGAACCCACTCGTCTTCCGCATCCAACACCTCGTCCGGGCCTGGCGGCCCTCGGCCGGGGAGTCCCCGGCCGGGGGGCCCCC